GGAGACCCAGCAGTCAGGAGGGAAGTCTTGCAGCATGGGGACCAGGAACTGCAGACAGCCATCCCAGTGGCACAGCAGCAGCATCATCCCGATGAGGTTGAAAATGCGAACCACAGCACTGGCCAGGTCATAGGTCATGTGAAAGATCTGAGGAGTCCGAGGAGGGGCTGTTGTGGACGGGAACCTCTCTCTGCCAGGACTTTTCCAGGCCTGGCCTTGCAGATTCTCTCTTCAAATTTCTCTCTGGCCCTAGCCCCCGTGAATGTTCAGACTGTGGCTATAAAACAGCATATATAGCTAAGACAAAGGAGGTTGTATTACTACTCTCATCTCATAGATAGGAAAACTAATGCAAATCATGTGCTCCAAATCACAGCAAGTGCCACGGCAGAAACTCAAAGAGGTCTACTGCACAAGCTGCCCAAGTATAGCCTGGGAAAGGGGAGAGAGGGCAATTCACAGTGTAACAGCCCCAGGGCGTATATAAGGATTAGTGCCAGAAGCTCTCTTCCCTTCCAATAATAATAATAATAATAATAATAGGTAATCTACTGAGAACTTACTGTGCCAGGCACTTACTATGTGCCTTACAGGTATTAACTTCTTTAACCCTTACAACCTTATCATATGTAAGTATATTTAACATTTTCATTTTATAGACAAGGAAACCAGGTCTCATATAGTAAACAGTAAAATTGGGATCTGACCACAAGCAATGTGACTGCAGAGTTCATACTCTGAACCACTAAATTCTGCTGTTGTCCTGAAACTGAAACTCCAGCCTTCCCCACACTCTACAATTATTAGCTCCTCTCCTATACCTTCCTCCTGGAGTCTAACTAACCCTCCAGTGTTTGTCCAGCAACTATGCTCCATTCTCCTGCACCACCATCCTCGCATCCTGCAAATCCCATCCCCTGAACACTCATTCTGTCCCTGTTTCTCCCCCACCAAACTGGAGACACCCCTCCCTCGGAAGCTCCACTCATCTGCCCCACCCCAGAAAGTTTCCAGGAGTCCCACTCATATCGCTGTCTGGAGGAGTCTGCAAGCCCCCCCCTGCCCACCTCCCCACCCCACCTCCTCCCACTGGTGTATGTAGCGGATGAGGCGGGAGAGGCGGAGCAGCCGCAGCAGGCTGAGGATCTTGGTGAAACGCACGATGCGCAGGGCCCGCGCTGTTTTGTAGACCTCAGCATCCAGTCGTGGCTCCAGCTCCACCACCAGAAAGATGTAATCCACAGGAATAGAGGAGATGAGGTCAACCAGGAACCAGGTGCGCAGGTAGCGTGTGCGGATGGCCCGCGGTGCCAGCAGGATCTCAGCACCCTCCTCTACCACGATGCCCGTGCGGAAGTTGAGCACCAGATCCATCAGGAAGAAAGTGTCAGAGAGGACGTTGAAGACAATCCAAGGTGGAGAGTTCTCTTCCTTGAAGAAGGTGATGCCCACGGGTAGCACAATGAGGTTCCCCACCATCAGCAGGAGCATGATCAGGTCCCAGTAAAACCTAAGGTAGGGGTGAGATGGGAAGTAAGACCATGATGAGAGTCAGCCACTAAACTAAGGGCAGATAGTCTCAGCCAAAAGTGGACAAGGATACAGAACAACGGAATGACCATTTACAGCTAATGGGAGTGTAAACTGGGACCACCATTTGGAAAAATAGTTTGGAATTATCTAGTAAAGTCAAACATTTGCATTCCCTGCAACTTGGCAATTCTATTCATAGGTATATACACATTCAAGGGAAAGATTCCAGGAGATATATACAGGTATAACAGCATTAAATCTGGAAATAATCCAAATACCCATCAGTAGAAAAATGTAGATAAATAAGATAAACACAGTAGATAAAAACACCACTGTCTTGGAATATTATACAACTGTGAAGTCACCCAACTGCAGCCTACATTCCACAGTACGAATGAATCTCACAGATTTAATGTCAAGAAACCAACGGATACACACTGTAGGATTCCACACATACAAAGTTCAAAAATAGATCAAACTAAACTGCATTATTTAGAGATTCACAGAAAAGTAGTAAAACTGTAAAGAAAAGGAAGGAAATAAGTATCACAAAAGTTTGGGTTTGGAAAAGGAATTTGAGAGCAGCATGGAGCCTTCTGGTGTATCCCCAATGTAGTTTCTCTTGACCTAGACAGTTGTTACATATGAGCTTGTTTTACAGTTGCTCCTTCAAATATGTGTGTGTGTGTGTGTGTACACACACACACACACACACACATATATACATCCTGGTATATACTATACTATTTATATATATCTGCCTTATATATTTACTATATCTCTACTATATATATTAATATATATACCTACTAAATATACCACTAATATGTGCATATATATTCTTTATGTAGTATATATATTATATGTATATAATCTATGTCACTATTATTAAATATTTTTTAAGTTAAAAAAAGATAAATATCCTTTGCTGATCTCACAGGGCTGTTAAAAAATATGCACTGATATGGATGTGGATGGATGTGACAGTGTTGTACAAGACTAGTTGGTGTTATGACTCACCCACCCTTTATCCCCAGATTTCTGAAGAGACTGCTGCTTTACCCATCTCCAGCTCTCTGCCCATTCCTAGTTTAGGACTGAAAACCTTCCCTGGCTTTCCCAACCCCAACCCTCCTTCCCAACACAGTTGGACTCATAGTTCCTGTTTTTCTGCTGGGATCTGTTTCCCAGAGTGGGGCTGGTCTGTCCTGCCTCCTGTTTGAACTAGCTTTTCAGATGCACCCTTCCCCTCTTCACAGCACTTCGGCAGGCCTGCACACACAGAGAAGCTCCACAGCAGATCCTGAGACGGCAAAGCTTGAAGCTCTGCACTCCTTTCCTCCCCTAACCTCCCCGTGCCCACTGAGACTTTGGTTGAGCCCAGGCAAGGGCATGGTCAGGGGAGAGCCATACTGCTGTGTGGAAGCTGTGAAAAGAAGAGGTCATTCAAAGAAGATCACTGGACAATCTGAAGGTCCCAATCAGATATGGCAGCTTCAATTTCAGGACACACCTAGTTGCAGCATCAACCAAGGACCCAGCCCCTTCTGACTCTGACTGAAAAAAATCAATCCTTTCAGCCCCTGGATGAAGCTTGGTGGTCCCCAAGCCCAGGCCTCCAGGAAGCCCTGTGTGATTTCAATCAACAGCAACCCTGGATCTCCTCTTCTTCTCTTTCCTGGCCACTGGAGAAATCCTGTACTGTAAGCTGGGAGAGGAGGGGGAAAGAGGGTTTGCCTTGCCATAGAGCATCTTCACAGCCTGACTCACAGGCAGTCACAAGCCTGGCGGGTGATACAGGAGAGAGGATGGAGAAGAAGCACAATAATAACAGGGATACATGGTTTATGGGGATACATTTGAGAGTGAAATGGGGGGGAGAGGGAGATATACAGCAGACTAGAAAAGGTGCACTTATAGTGTGATATTGAGACAGTAAAAAAGAGGGAAGTGAAAGGAACAATGAAAGAAAGAAGAACATTAAGGGAGTGTGTATGTGGATTAAAATGACGTCTAGGTTTCCAATGGTGTTTCCAGGCTCCTGATTCACACCTCATCCTCTCTGCTCATTTAGCTCTCCAGGATAGGTGCTTTGCACATATCCTTGCCTCATCCAAAAGCTGCCCTTCATTTCCTCCAAGGACAGGGTTTTTCTCCTCCCCTAGCGACCTTGATGTAGAGGTGCAGCCTGATGGGGACTATAGAATGGCCCCACCCCCACTCTTCATCCCTTCTCTCTGGCAGTCACCTAGGCGGTGTCACATGGGCAGTGGACTTGCCCCTCTGTTGCTGCCTCAAATCACTCTGAGTCCAGGTCCCAGCCCGCCAAATCCCATCTTCAGCACCAGGGACAGCGATCAGAGCGGCTGCCTGGACACTCCCTTTCTCCCCATCCCTGGCATCCTATTTTTTTGGGAGCCTGCCCTGCTGAACTAGGCAGGTACTGGGGGTAGTAATGGGGACAGAGGGGACAGCTCGGTTTCTCCTTTAGGCTGACCCTGAGTTTCGGAATATGACAAAATTTCCCAGATCCCTAGCAAGCAGAACTGGAGGAGACAGCAGTCCCTAATTTCAGTATTCCCCTTGGTTCCAGGTGGGGTGTCGGGTTTTTGAAATGGGAAACCCAGGTCTCTGGTGTCCGCTTGTCCCTTCCAGCGCCCCTAGCCGGAAAAGTCACCGAGAACCTCCGGCTGGGGATCCTTCACCCAAGGATTAGGTTGGGGGAAGTGACTCTGTAGGCCCACCAGGGGACCCCTGGGCCGGAAATGAAGTGTCCGTGGAGGGTGGGGCGGGCCCGGCTCCCGTGTCGCGGCCTTGGGGGTGGAAGCTGTGTCCCCTGCCCACCCTGCCGGACCCCCAGTACCGGAAGTCGCTGTACGGGTGGATGATCCAGGCCCCCGCTGACTTGACCCGCTCCTGCTCGATTTCCACTGCTTTGTGGCTGCCGAACACGCGAAGGGAGAACTTGTTGACCGTGGGCTGGAGCAGGGTCCCGAGCTGCCTCCTCTTGGGCTCGGGCCCGGGCCTGGACCCAGGGATCGGACCCGAGGCTGTGGTTGTAGATGCCGGGGCAGCAGGAGGCGCAGCCTCCAGCCCAGGGGTCGCCCCGTCGTTGGCCCCAGTCGTTGGCCGCTGCTCCGCCTCCATGATGCCTGTCAGCTTACACGCTTGGCCTCCTAGACCCTGCTGCGGCCATTTGGGACCCTTCGACCCCTCCCGGAGTCGGAGCGGGAGCAGCCGGCGGGCTCAGAGCGGAGGCGTAGTCGGCTGGGAACTGCCAGAGCGCCGGGCGGAGGGGGTGTGTGCGACAGACTCCGAGGGCGGCGGGCGGGTCGCGCTGCGCCCCCTGGCGACAGCCGAGCGGAGGCTGGGCAGGGCGGGCGGAGGCGGGGTCGACCGAGAGCCATCTCGGAAAGAGGTGGGACCATGGTAGTCCGTAACCCGAGGGACACTGAAGTAGGCGTGGCTTAGCAAATGTGGGCCGTCCTCCAAGTATAGGAAGAGAAGGAGGGAAAACGCTGCCAAAGTCAACAGAGAGGGCGTGGTCTAGGGCTGAAGGGCTTTTATCCACTGAGCGCCAGGGAGGCGGAGCCGCCCTCAAGTGGCGGGAAAACCGGACGCTGGTTGTAGCTCGTGAGGCTTGGGAGGGCGAGGAATTGGGAACCATTAGAAGAGATGGGGAATGGCTTTTGAGCCTCCTCTTATCCACTCTGCCTTACGGACTTCCTGCATTTCACTTTTTTTTTTCCTCTCAACACTCTCCTAGGCATACTCATTTCCTCTGACGTCTTCATATTGCTCCCTCTAGTATTTCATTTCCAAATTCATCTGCCAGCCCTCACCAAGAACAACTCTGCCAGTCACTGAGTGGACCCTGAGGATACAAGGATGAACACAAAGTCCTGTCCATAAAGCCAGCGCTCGTCTATGCTTTCAGACAGGACAGGTAAATTACAGTGGTATGTGATGGAAAGGGCTGTAAATTCTCTTTTGGGGGGCGGGGCGCTGTGCTGGGCAGCTTACAGGATCTTAGTTTCCTGACCAGGGATTGAACTTGGGCCTTTGGCAGTGAAGGTGCAGAGTCCTAACCACTGGATTGGCAGGGAATTCCCTAAAAGTTCTTAAATATCTCAAATTCTTCCCCTTATCTCCACTTCTTATTGTCACTGCCTTATTTCAAGTGCTCAGAATTTGTTCACCTAGATTATTTCAGATGCCTCTTAAGGGGTCTCTAAACTCTCTCGGGGCAATTAGTTTTCCACAGTCTGCCAGAGTTACCTTCCTAAATCCAAATGTAGCTTTATCACTTGCTTAATGTCCTTCAACATCCCCATCTTCTATGGGATTACAGTTAAACTCCTTAGAATGACATACAAGGCCCTGTAAAATCTGGACCTAGTTTTAACAACCTCTCTTCTGATAGTTCCTCTCTTGAAAGCCAGGACTCCAATTCTGTTTAAATGCTTTGTTCTGCTCTGTCTCTAGACCTTTGTATTTTCTCTGCCTGGTCTTCTTCAATTCACTTTTCAACAGTTGGTTCTGATGTCATCTCCTCTAGGAAACCTAGATTCGCATTTATAACTCTTTTCTTCTCAAGCTAGGGTCTAGTGTACACCTTTCCTACAGTGACCAGGGCACCACTGTTCATAACAGCTCTTGTCACAAGGCTGCCATTATTTTATGAAAGAAAAGGTCTTCCTCTTCCATTAGACTATGGAGCTCTGAAACAGGAGCCTTACACCTGACACAATGCTGAACACAAAGTGGACACTTAGTAAATGGTTGTTGAATGAAAAAGGGAAAGTGTTCATGGAAGAGGAAGTGAATTACACTTCCTCCTCACCTCTTCATTACCCTTCCTCATCTATTTTAGGAACTTTTTCTAAACTATTTCTGGCCAACTGATGTAAGCTCCATCTGATTATCTTCCATCCTGGCTGCCCTCTGATATTTCTTTACTTGAATATAGTTATCCTCAGGTTATTCTTTTCATTTCCCTTATTATTACTCAATTCCTTCTATAGCGTCTTTAACTCACCTAGTTTTTCTCAACTCCTCCTTTTTTTTCTTTTTATTTTTTAATTCAGTAAATTTACACTTCTCATATATTATGTGTAAGTACGTAACATAAAGTTCTCAAATTTTCCCTTCTTTGGCACTTGATTCTCCATCTCTCCATTTTTCAAACCTTACCTCCAAGGCGATGCCCCGCCCCTCTCCCAAAAGTGCATAGCTTTTGTTCAAGAGGAAAGGTGGGAGCCCTCTTTGCTGTGGTTAGGTTGCCGAACTGTTTTTAAGAACTGAATATTTAGAGGCTATGCTGGAGAATCACACCGCATCACAAACCTCAAAAGGTTAGCAGAGCGGCGACATCCCGTAAACGACAATCCCTCTTTTCAACCTTCAAACTTAACAAGACATAGAAGTCTTATGAAACAGGTAAAAGATTGAGGAAAGCTACGGAAACACAGTAGGTGGGGCAACTCGGCCCGATAATGCCCGGCGACTCTCTCCCCGCCCCATGAACTTCCGCCCCTAGCAGCTCCTCTGCTCCAAAGGGCCGACGGCAGCGAGCTATGCGAGGACGCGCAGGCGTGCGCGGTCCTGGGAGGCCGGGCCGGGGGGGGGGGGGGGGTGGGCGGGGGGCGGAGCCCGGGGGTAGCTGGGAATCGACGCAGGACGTACGTCTGTGCGTACGTGCTCGCTCGCGGTGGCGGCGGCGGATCGGAGAGGCCAGAGCCGGAGACCGAGCTGGGATCGGGCCCCGGGCGGGGGCGGTGCGAGCGGCGCCAAGCGAATCTTGGGGGCGGGGACGGAACCGGGGCGGGAGGGACTGGAGCGGAGCCCGGGAACTAGGCGGGAGGTCCCAGGGTCTCGGGTTGGGGGGGTGGAGCCGCACTTCGTCGCCGCGGGGGTGCCGGGACTCCGGCCGCAGTGCCGCCGCCATCACGGACTTCCTGTGGGACAAGCGCACGGGCCTCGCCGCCAGAACGGTGAGCGCGCGGGCTGGCGGGCCGCGGGGCCGCGCGGAAAGATGGCGGCGACCGTGGGGCGGGCGGAGAGAAGATTGGATTGGGGGCCAGGGGCCCGGGCTAGATGAGGAGAGGGGTTCTCCTAATCAGCCCCCCATTTCTAAGGGCTGAAACCTGGAAAGTGGCAGAGGTGCAGGGTAGGAAGATGAGATGGAAGGTCGACCTACCTTAGATGTATTTTGGGAAGACCAGTAGGGAAGTTGGGAGAGATCAAAGTAGGAGAAGAAGTGATGGAGTGCGAATAGGAGTGGTTTCAGAGATGAGAAAGAGCAGAATATCAAGTTGGACCAGAGCTGGCGACGGGGAAAGAAACCATCGTCACTTGGAGAATATGGAGAGAGTTTGACTTCAGGAGTGAGTTCTGGATTTTCTAAGTGAGAAAGGGAAAAAAAATAGATAAAGAAGTTGAGAAGGGTTGTAAGCTGGAGATACTGGGGGGATGGGGAGAAGGAAAGCCTGTGAGGGACTTTGGTGGTAGCGTGTACGCGGTAAGATGACATTTGTGTGGCTGTGCTAAGCACAGTTGGATTACCTGGGAGAATGGTGTGCTTGCATCTTCTTGGTTGTGTTAAGCACTATTGGGCCAGGAATGAAGCGAATGCCACCCTCCTCCTCAATTTGAGAAGTAGCTCAAAATGGGGGCCAGATGTTGGAGTCTCTTAAGCCTTTTCCGCACCTAATGCTGCCACCCCCACCCACCCAACAAGACTTCTATCCTTGCTATCTTTGGATCTATCTCATTCTGTCCTCCTAGTCTCATCTTCCCTGATTGTGACAGTGATTTCTCTCTCATTCTTTCCTTGAAGGAAAAAAAGATTTTGTGCATCATGCCATTTCAATCCAGTCACTGAAAGGTGGCCAACTTTTAGTTTACTGGTGCTGATATTAATTAAAAATCAGTTACTCTGTTCTTAGTAAGCACAAAAGAGGGGAGGCTGGATGTGAAGCTGGCTGCAGCCTGGAGCCTCACGTATTGCATTAAAACTATAGGAGATTTGGCCAGTGATGTGAGAAATGATTAAGATAGTTCAAAAGGCCAGACCCAGATTCCTGAAACTTACTTATATTTGGTTTACACAACTGTATGTGGAAACCTGGGAAACTGGATTCCTGCCCTCAGGACGTGAATGGCCTATTTGGGAAGATAGTCTACACTTTGAGTAATTGTAAAACATTTGTGATAATATTGTGTAGTAAATCATTATTCCCTTTGAGTTGTGAGGAACTCCAATGCCACAGATCTACCGTAGATACCAGCCGAGGATGAATTGTTGCAGTCTTCATGAGTTGCACAGTCTCACCTGTAATGAGCTGTGGCCCAGACCTGAGTGTCTTCATGAGACCTTGTTTGAAGAAAATCAGAATAGAGCAATGAGCTGAGTATGAGGAAGATTTCCTAAAGTTTTCAGCCAGAGTTAGTATACTACTCTATTAAGGAGAAATTGTAAGCCCAGAGGAAGACTGAGGAGTTGTGAGTGGTTTTTTTTAAAAAAAAAAGTAGAAATTGAAGAGCAGAAGACAGCATTTCTAGGGCAGCCAGTCCTTGGAGAGGATTTCTGAAAACTCAGATCTTGCCCCTACTATTTCTGCTTTCCCTTTCCTTGCAGATGCCTCATCCTCGAAGATACCACTCTTCAGAGAGAGGCAGCCGGGGGAGTTACCATGAGCACTATCGGAGCCGAAAGCATAAGAGACGAAGAAGCCGCTCCTGGTCAAGCAGCAGTGACCGTACGCGGCGGCGCCGACGGGAAGACAGTTACCATGTCCGTTCCCGGAGGTGAGGCTTCAGGAAGAAAAACTCAAATTAGACCCACTCACTTATTTGTTTATTCAACGAAGATTTATCAGTTTCAACCTAAGTAAGTAATATGTGATGCTCAAAATGGGTAACAAGTTAACCCATTTACACTGTGGTGTTAAAGAGTGTTATCATAGAGGAAGTATGTTTGAAAGGGGCTAGGGAAGCCTCCAACAGGTTTGATTGCAGTGGGGCAAGATATATAGATCAGGGAAAACTTTCCAGAGAACTTGGCATCTAAGCTTGTCTGAGTGACAAGAGAAGTGTTGTAGGCAAAGGGAAAGCAAATGCAAAGGACTAGGAACTTGAGGTGGCTTATCAGTTAATAAAACAATTAGGTCTCCATGGTTTTAATAAGTTAGCCGCATGTTCTATGGGAGGGATGGGTTAAGGATAGTTTGGAGCAAAACTGCATGTCAGTCAGAAATGGCTTGAGAAACAGCTCTTCATGCCTTTGCGTCCCTGGAGGGGAGGAGGAGGCCCTCGGGGGGAGTTGTCCTGCAGATGTCTTTTTAGAGGTTATAGTGATGTGCGGATGTGGGGATCCTCCTCTGTGCTGAGTTACTTCACTGCCCTGGCTCTTGTTCCTCTCAGAGTGGCTTGAGTGTGTGAGGACTACTTTCTCCCGCGTTACTCCTTTTTTTCAGTGAGGGGGGACCTTGTTAAATGGTATGGCAAGGACTGTGACCTGAACAGATGCACCTAATTAGGGTGTTTGTTGTCCAACAGCAGCTATGACGATCGTTCATCCGATCGGAGGGCGTATGACCGGCGATACTGTGGCAGCTACAGGCGCAACGACTACAGCCGAGATAGGGGAGAAGCCTACTATGACACAGACTACCGGCATTCCTACGAGTACCATCGGGAGAACAGCAGTTACCGCAGCCAGCGCAGCAGCCGTAGGAAGCACCGCCGGCGGAGGCGGCGCAGCCGGACGTTCAGCCGTTCATCTTCGGTGAGTGCTGGCCCAGGCCCTTCCTCTCCCCACTCTTCTTCAGCCCTCTGGGACCCCGGTAAGTGAGAAGCACTGGGGCATGAACACTGAGGTGGGCGCTGAGTCTGCTCGCCTGGAAGCTCTCCAGCTCGTGGAGGGCCCTGAATCTGCTTTGGAGGTGAATGGGCACAGAGCTTTTGTGAACCCCCGTGCCCTCCCTGGCATGCTGGGCTTATTGTGTTGGGAGCAGCTCTTCCACCCCCAAGAGACCTCCATTTTCTAATGGGGACATTGCTTGTGAACAGCCTTTCTCCCCAAGCCCTGGACTCTGGCCCCCTCAGCAGGTGGGCTTGGGTGGGAACAGGGGGAGACCTGTGCCTGCCTGGAAGGGCACCGTGTAGAGCATGGGGTTGTGGGTGACACTGGCAACGACACCACTTCTCCGCTCTGCCCGTACCTCTCCCCGTTCCCATTTTGGGTTTGGGGACTTGGGATTATGCGCCGCTCTCTCTTCTCACCCCGATCCGCCTTACTGCATCTGACGTGTTCCCTTCCACTGTCCCCCATCATCGTCTGTCCCCCCTGGCTGGGCGCCTGTGACCGGTGACCCCTCCACCACCCACCCCGCCTCCCTCCGGCCCCCGCTCCGACACCTGGCTTGCTCCGACCCCCCCCGCCCCCCGACAGCAGCACAGCAGCCGGAGAGCCAAGAGTGTAGAGGACGACGCTGAGGGCCACCTCATCTACCACGTCGGGGACTGGCTACAAGAGCGATGTACAAGCCAAATCGTAACAATCCTATAGCCTGTAATGGTCCCATAGCCATCCTAACGTCCTGAGCCAACCCAAGCCACAGCCTCTCTTGCCTTTTCTCAGTGGTGTTGTTTATCTGGGTGGTTTGAGTTGCTGTTGAGAACTGACCTCTGCTGTCCACTCCCAGCTCTCATGGCCCCTGGGTTAAAGGTGGTGGGAATCATGCAGGGGTTTTCTTCCCCTGTGACCATCTGTATCTGTTCCCCCTTCCTTCATCTCCTCACCCTAGAGTGCTGTGCCCTTTTTTCTTCAAACGGAACTCATTCCCCACCCTTTCTCCCCCTCTCTCCCCCACCCTGCTTTTTTTCATTTCAGATGAAATTGTAAGCACCTTGGGAGAGGGGACCTTCGGCCGAGTTGTACAGTGTGTTGACCATCGCAGGTAAACGTCAGCCCGCTCCAGACTCCACATCTGCTAGCCATAAAGAGGTAGTGAGGGTTGCCTGGGGCTTTTTTTGTTAATGAGCCAAAGATAGGATTTCTTAATCCCCAGGCAGCCCTGTTCGTTCTGAGATATTCTTGAGATTCCAGCAAAAGCCTTTCCTGCCATCCTGTAGGGGTGGGGCTCGGGTTGCCCTGAAGATCATTAAAAATGTGGAAAAGTACAAAGAAGCAGCTCGACTTGAAATCAATGTGCTGGAGAAAATCAATGAGAAGGACCCTGACAACAAGAAGTAAGCTGTGCTGGAGTATGTGGGGCGTCTTGAGAGGCTACACCTCAAGACGGGAAAACCTTCCCAACATGGACTAGACAGGCAGAGGAGTTGTACACTGTCTCATCTTTTGTTTATCATTGTAGAGTAGTAGAACTACTAGTAGTTACTACTACTGAAAGGAAGGAAGGGAGGGTCTGTGACATTCTATAATCCATTCCCCTTGTTTTGGGGACAGTTAGATTGCCCTGCAGTTGAGCTCCAACTCAGGATGACCTTTGTAGGAATGTGCCCTGGAAATGGCCCTGAGACTGACAGTCAACATTTTTCATCAAAAAAGTACTTGAGCTTTTAATAGAACTAGAACTACCCTAATGAAGTTGCAGGTGTTTATGTATAGTTTTTCTGTTCACACACATTGCATAATCAAAATGTAAAATTTAAGAGTATTACTCAAAGACATAAGTAGGTGTAAATATGGGCCCAGTGATGGCTGATGGTGAGTGAATTTCAAGAGCGGGAGCTGGGGTCATGTTGACGGAGTGGCAGTTTGACAATTCAGGGTCCACACTGGAGCCTGGCACTCAACAGCTCCTATTTAATTGTTTGAAATATTGCAGGAAAATGGTTTGAAGTTTGGCAAGTAGGACTTCTCTTCCTGGGTCTGCCAGAAAGGCCATTTTGTAGTTGAACTGAATTTTCTTGGTGATAATAACTGGCATGTTTTTATCCAAGCATGTGCAATCAGCAGCAGTAGTCCTTCTTTGTTGGAGGGGTGGTGGACAGATAGGAGCTCATCACACACACCCCTTCCGTCTCTTTTCCCAGCCTCTGTGTCCAGATGTTTGACTGGTTTGACTACCATGGCCACATGTGTATCTCCTTTGAGCTTCTGGGCCTTAGCACCTTCGATTTCCTCAAAGACAACAACTACCTGCCCTACCCCGTCCACCAAGTGCGCCACATGGCCTTCCAGCTGTGCCAGGCCGTCAAGTGTGAGTGGGGTGGGCCACGGCGGACTCTGGGGCAGCCCCTTCCTTCACAGGACCTCTTCTGTCTCACTTGTGCATTGATGAAGCCCCTAAACAGTTGACTCGATAATCTGCAGTTCTTCTATATTCACTGTCGTTTTGGCATCTCTTCCTCTTCTGACTTAACTCCTTTGCTGATGTCCTCACCATCACTGATTGCCTCTCCTCCACATTCAACCTAGCAGGAGCTAGAAGAGAAAGCATTTGAAGTCAGAGCTCTTAGTTACCTCTTTTTTCCTTCACTCCCCTCCTTTGGGAAAGTCAGTCAGGTGCTAAGCACGAGGAGACAGAAAGACTCCTCAGGCTGGAGGTTTACTTGGCCTGAGCCGAGGTGCTCTCTGCCCTCAGCAAGCCAGGTGGGAGCAGGGAGTTGTGCAGCCAAGTGCCAGGGTGAGAATTCAGACCAGTACTTACTTCCTCCTCAGTCATCAGAATAATACAGTTTCACAGAATTAAATTCACAGGAGTCAGACAGACATATGTTAAGGCACAAAAATACAACTCATAGGGACTTCTGTGATAGTCCACTGGTTAAGACTCCACACACTGTTGCAGGGTTCAACCCTTGGTTAGGGAAGTAAGATCCCTGCATATCATGAGGTGTGACCAGGGGAAGGAAAAAACCATAGCAAGCCATCTTTATATGTTGGTTGAGAAATACATATGTAACTTATGTTAAGCATAGAGCTTGTTAGACTAGGCATTTCATTTGGAAATAGAGCCGAAAGCAGCCAAGTGCTTCTGGACCTGCCTCCTCACCAGCTTTGAGCTAGGTGACCAAGCTTGGGGTCAGCTGGTAGTAGTTAGTTCTGGCCACCTGGACCAACCCTGACCTGGCCTTCTCCTCTGCAGTCCTCCATGATAACAAGCTGACACATACGGACCTCAAGCCTGAAAATATTCTGTTTGTGAATTCGGACTACGAGCTCACCTACAACCTAGAGAAGGTAAGGTGGACAGGGTCTGTCCCTTGGCCAGTGAGCACAGTTGGTCATTGCCACTTTGCCTTTCTCTTAGCCCTTTTTGTCCTACCTTTTACTACTTTCTCCCACATTTTCTTCTCTGGCTCTGAAAAAAAAATGGAATACCAAAATAGATGGAAAGGGAGAGATCTAAGATTTAGCTTCAAAGAGAATTTAAAAGCAGAACTTCACTTAACTTTCTTGTACAGTGAAAATGCTTACAAGGTTCTTGGTTAGGTTTCTTCTCTTTTCTGTAAGGAAAGCTCAGCTCTGTTGACTAACTGGAGATCATGGGGATCTCAGCTAAGGAAGCTATTCTTCACTTTGCTATCTATTATATGTTATCAGAAAACTGTATACCACCAGTCACTTAGGTATACTCTTCAGATGCATGCTATTCTATAGTTACTCCTAAATCTTCTTCCTCTCCCATTCCTAAAGTACTCTGCTGGATATGGGGGAGGCTGTAAAAGCAGAAGACATGCGTGGGAGCAGGGAGGAGGTCAGAGTTGGTTTTTTAAGGCTCAGAAGCACTTTAGAGAATAGCAGTAGAATCTTGGTCTGTTTTTTCTCAGTCCTGATGCAGAGGTTCATGTTTTTCCTGCTTTGCCTCCTAGAAGCGAGATGAGCGCAGTGTGAAGAGCACAGCTGTGCGGGTAGTAGACTTTGGCAGTGCCACCTTTGACCATGAGCACCATAGTACCATTGTCTCCACCCGCCATTATCGAGCACCAGAGGTCATTCTTGGTAAGAGGGGGAAGGACGAGATTGTCCAAGTATGTGAGGTGGTATGGTGGTGAGGGGGGCCCCTGAGCCTCATAATACCTTTCCTTCCCATCCCTACCTAGAGTTGGGCTGGTCTCAGCCTTGTGATGTGTGGAGTATAGGCTGTATCATCTTCGAATACTATGTTGGCTTCACCCTCTTCCAAGTAAGTGGTTGGGTGTCTTAAAAGACCACTAGGCGTTCTTCTACCTGATTTCCTTATCTGCTGAGAAACTGCCTGCTAACTCCTCCACATTGGTTAGCTTCCTAGCAGCTAGATCCCAGCATCCTTTCTCAGTCCCTTGCTCAGTTCTGTCTTTGTTTCCCAGACCCATGACAACAGAGAGCATCTAGCCATGATGGAAAGGATCTTGGGTCCTATCCCTTCCCGGATGATCCGAAAGACAAGGTGAACCTGTAGTGGGAGGGATGTAACCCTTCTCCTTTTCTCTCCACAAAATTGGTCTCTTAACACATTTTCTTTTTTCTTCAACACCTGCCTTCCCCTCAGCTACTCTCAGATGGGAGAATAAGGGAAATTAATCCCATAACAAGAGGAACTTCCTGATTCCTCAACTTCCCCCTTCCCCTCTAGGAAGCAGAAATATTTTTATCGGGGTCGCCTGGATTGGGATGAGAACACATCAGCGGGGCGCTACGTTCGAGAAAACTGCAAACCACTTCGGGTGAGCCGGGCTGGGAGTGACCAGTGCCCACCCCCTACAGGTCCCCTCCTTCTTAAGGTGTTTTGCCCCCGGAATGCCTTTCACAAGCAAAGAGTTAGGAAACAAGGGGAGGAAAACTGAAGACATCTTTTGTGGATAGAGAGGGAGTGGTTTTATGGAAGGAATGAAGTTAGACAGCCATTTATTTCTTGAGCCAACCAGAGAAAAGAATAAACTACCTTTGAAGAGCTTACATTTTCTTGAGCTAAAGAAGATTCATGAAGTTGTCAAGGATATATAAGTAGAACTTTGAGAAAGTATGAAGGAATAATTGTGCTAGTGGGAAGGCAGGTTGAGCTGTAACATCAGAAATGGCCCTGGTGTGGTCCTGGGCAAGTAGCATCATATGGTCATGAGCAGAGCCTTGGTCCTTCAGGATTGAAAGCTTGGGCCTTGAAGAAGGCAGGGCTTATAAGGCATCGTGCCTCACCTTTTTCCTGCCCTCCACCACCAGCGGTATTTGACCTCAGAGGCAGAGGAACACCACCAGCTCTTCGATCTGATTGAAAGCATGCTAGAGTATGAACCTGCCAAGCGGCTGACCTTGGGCGAAGCCCTTCAACACCCTTTCTTCGCCCGCCTTCGGGCTGAGCCACCTAACGCCAAGTTGTGGGACTCCAGTCGAGATATCAGTCGGTGACGATCTGTCCCTGGGCACCCCTGTGTCTCTAACAGCAGTGGGTGTCCAGTCCAGGACACTGGTGCTTTTTTATACAAGAGAACAGAGCCGGAGCTCACTCCTTCCTCCTGGCTCCCTATGTACCTGTAAATATGTGAAATAGTGTAAATATGAAAGAACTTGTACCACCGCTTCAACCCCTGCCTTGTACATAATGCTATTCCATCTCACACTCTTCCCACCCTCACCTGCCCCTTCAACAGTTGAGTTGGATCTGGGCAGAATGAGGTAACCAGAAGGCATCAACACCATGTTTTATAAGGAATTTTGTACAGTCTTTGTGAAATAAAATGATGTGCTTCACCCGACCCCCATCCCTGGAGTTTGAGGTTTGGAGATGCTGGGGTGGTGGGATGATTAGATTGGCAATGAAGGGAATCCCATTTTACCCTTCAAAATTAACCTCAGGCTACCAGTTTATCTGAGCGATGGGTGGGTAACATCTGACCGTAAGAAAGGGTTATAAAGTTAGCACTTATTTGATCTGGAATAATGACGTTTGGGAAGGAGGTTCGGTTAGTATAGCTGTTAGGTTGGGCCCCAGCGTAGAGTCAGAAATCCAGATAAAAAACTTCCTGAACTGGGCTCCTGGGATGCCGCCACCACCGGTCGGAGGACTCCCAGCATACTTCTCTTTCGAAGGCTAGGACGAATCGGGATTCTGACGCGAGGCCTACTGGGAGGTGTAGTTCGTTAATCGAAGGAAGTCACGTGGGGAAGGGGCGGTACTTGGCTAGTGAGACCGAGTTAGAGGCGTCACGTGGGGCACTTCCTTCTTTTCCTTTATCCGAGACGCAGGCGCAACTCGCTGCTGCTGCGGGGATCCTTGTGACCCTTCCGGTCGGTACAGCCAATCCGTGCACAGGGAAGCGGGGCGGTCCGAGAAGAGCGGAGCCGAGGGAGCTCTGAGAGCCGCGGCCGCCGCCACTGCCGCGGCAGGGGCGTGGAGGGCAGGGGGCGGCCCAAGCCGAAGTTGCAAACATGGCTCAAAGCAGAGACGGTGGAAACCCCTTCGCCGAGTCTGGCGAGCTTGACAACCCCTTTCAGGTGACTTGCGCCGGCCTCTTTTAGGCGACTGGGGTGGTTTCTTGGTTCTAGAGGGTCGGGCTAACTTGTATTCCTGTTCGTGACATTTGATCCGAGGAAGGGCCGCCACGTGGGTGTGACGACGACTCCAAACCAGTGAGCATCCTTGGGGGGCGGGCCCTGCCCCTTAAGGAGCTGGAACTGGTAGTGTGGGGTGAAAGGTTGGGGGCAGATATATTGGGACAACAGCGTGGCCCCAAGCTGCAGTTCTTGGAGCCACGGCAATTGAGAAGAGGCCCCTATGAGTTCCCGCAGAGGCACCAGGTGCCAACTGAGCCGCAGATATCTGCCCACAGGACCCAGCTGTGATCCAGCATCGACCCAGCACGCACTATGCTACTCTTGACGTCTACAACCCTTTTGAGACCCGGGAGGTGAGATTCTGGAGAGCACAGGAAGGCCGGGAAGGGTAGGGTATGCCACCAAACCAGTGTTGAGGTCCGGGGGACTTTTCTGCACGCAAAAGAAGGAAGAAGCACAGTGATCTTGGCTCTCTGAAAGAGGCCAGTCTGCCATGGGATGCCTAACCCATCTAAAGACATCAAGGCCAGAGATCTGTCAGTTTGAGCTCTAAATGTCAGTCTTGGGATTATCTGGATTCTTTCAGGGCCTGATGAAGACCCTGTCTGGGGAGGATTTTTTAAAGATGAAAAGGGATGAGCTTGGAGTTGAGAAAACAAAAGTATGCTTGAAAAGTGAAAGTGAAGTCGCTCAGTCGTATCTGACTCTTTTGTGACCCCCATGGACTGTAGCCTACCAGGCTCTTCCCATGGGATTTTCCAGGCAAGAGTACTGGAGTGGGTTGCCATTTCCTTCTCCAGAGGATCTTCCCCACCCAGGGATCGAACCTAGGTCTCCCGCATTGTAGGCAGACGCTTTACCGGCTGAGCCACCAGAGAAGTCAAAGTATGCTTAGGTACACAATTAGAAAGCAAGGGATGAAAAAGACTAGACCTGTTTGTCTCACTGGAATAGAAAAGTGTTAAGAGTTTTTAGAAAGTTTAAGGAGGTTGATTTGGTAGATGAGTGCTTTGAATCTTGGCTCAGAAACTTGATGTGAGGGTAGCTGCAAGTTGTTAGAGAGTTCTATGATATAAACACAATAACTAGCTTTCTAATAACTGGGGGAAGGGCTGCCACTTTAGGTAATGAGTTTTAGATCTAAAAGTATTCAAGTAGACTCTAGTCTCCTGTGTTATGGGGGACTAGATGCTTAAGGTCTTTTCCAAACTCAACAGCCACCACCAAGCTATGAGCCTCCTGCCCCTGTTCCGATAGCTCCACCCTCAGCTCCACCCTTGCAGTCCTCAAGAAAACTCAGCCCCACAGAACCCAAGAACTATGGCTCCTACAGCACCCAGGTAGGGGGGTGTATAGGTAGGGGTTTGGGGAGGGGGCATCCCTGGGGTTCAGGACTAACATCTCCCGTCTGCTCTTACTGGGCAGGCTTCAACTGCAGCAGCCACAGCTGAGCTGCTAAAGAAACAGGAGGAGCTCAACCGAAAGGCAGAGGAGTTGGACCGAAGGGAGCGAGAACTCCAGCATGCTGCCCTGGGCGGCACAGCTGGTAAGTGGATCCTTGATAGGGTTGCAGAGGGCATCTGACAGCTTTGAAGTCTAAGAAAAGGAACTCAGAGCATGGGCACTGGAGCCAGATTGCAGAGCTTGAATTTGGGTGCAGTGGCTTATTAAGGATGAGCTCTTAGGCAAGCTACTTAATCTTGAGTGCATCGGTTTCCTTACTTGTAAAATGAGAGTAATGTTTGTATCTGTTTAACTGGATTGTTGTGAGGTTAAACAAAGTTATCTATACAAATCCTGGGCATAGTGGTTAGCAGTTGTAAGCCATAGTAAACAAAAGTCATAATAAACACTACTAATATAATTTTTGCTATTTGCCCTTGTCTTCTTGAACTCTCGAGTTGGAAATAGAGAATCCAGGGGTAAAAGGAAGGGGGTGATTTGTTGGTCTCTGTCTCACTTGTGGGACCCTCCTGCTCTTTTTCTGCCTTACAGCTCGACAGAACAATTGGCCCCCTCTACCTTCTTTTTGCCCAGTTCAGCCCTGCTTTTTCCAGGACATCTCCATGGAGATCCCCCAAGAATTTCAGAAGACAGTATCCACCATGTACTACCTCTGGATGTGTGAGTAGTCAGAAACCTTTTTGAAGGAAAAGTATAGATAGTAAGTGGTACATCATTCCTTTTCCTGGAGCTCACTCGCCCAGAGCTAGATACTTTGAATGAAATATCATTGAAGGCTCATTTCTCTGGCAGTTTCCCTGGATTACTCCTTTTACAATACTCAGGATTTCTTCTCCAGTCTTCTAGCAAATGTACGTTCTTGCTCTCTCCCTCTTCCCCTTGTCCATATGCATAAATGTATGCTGGATCCTTTTTAAAAGTCTTTGCAAACACGATGACACATGGTTGAGATTTGCTGGTTCTGTCTCCCTGTTGAGGATCCTTACTCTGCCACGTTTGGTGAGGGTTGTGGGGTGGGTTTCTCGGAGAAGGAGCTCTCACTGACCCATCATCCTGTCCCCCTGACCCTTAGGCAGCACTCTGGCTCTTCTCTTGAATTTTCTTGCCTGCCTCGCCAGCTTCTGTGTGGAGACCAGCAATGGCTCAGGCTTTGGGCTTTCTATCCTCTGGATCCTCCTCTTCACTCCCTGCTCCTTCGTCTGCTGGTATCGCCCCATGTACAAAGCTTTCAGGTAAGAAGGGGCGGTGGGGATGATGGCAGGGAGGGGACTTGGAGAAGCCCCTTTTCGCTCCTACAACCCTGATTCTTTGCCTACACTTCCCATTTTTTTTCTTTGCAGGAGTGACAGTTCATTCAATTTCTTCGTTTTCTTCTTCATTTTCTTCGTCCAGGATGTTCTGTTTGTCCTCCAGGCCATTGGCATCCCAGGTTGGGGGTTCAGGTCTGTGAGACTGCCGTTTACCCTCACCCCTTCCTCCCACTCCTTTTGATCAAGTCAACATTGGGTACTGGCATAGGAGTTGTTCAGAAAAAGGAACTGTGGTTTTAATCCTTGGGAGATGCTAATTTAATAGGTGTACAGGACACTCTCCATGATAGAGAGCTCAGACAGTACTGTCAACAGACATAGATTAAGGGAAAGATGGCTGGACATGCTCAGTCTGAGGAGGCTTCTTGGAGGAGGCATGTGTAATGTTGAAGAGGAAGCATTCTCAACAGAAAGATCTGTTTGGAGTGAGGATGTCTGGAAGAGCTTGGAGAGCTAGGATGGTTCAGAAGCTGAGATTAAACTAGTTTGGGATTGTAGTGCATGGCAAATTGCCAGACCCACAGGGAAACGGTCCCTGGTTTGAAGACATGACCAGTGGAGAAGCTGGAAGGCCTGGGACCTAGCTGTGAGCAGTCCTCCTCACCTGCATATATTTCCTCCTCACAGTGGCTGGATCTCTGCCCTGGTGGTGCTGAAGGTCAACACAGCCGTAGCTGTGCTCATGCTGCTGGTTGCTCTGTTCTTCACTGGCATAGCTGTGCTGGGAATTGTCATGCTGAAGCGGGTGAGGGGCTGTAGGTGGGGCCTGGAGAGTGATATCACCCGTCCCTGGGGACTTGGCTGGAATATTCAGGAGCAACTGGGGAGGGCCAGGCAGATGGAAGGATTCTCAGCTAATGGACCTGGTGGGGGGCGGGGGGGCGGTGCTGGCTTGTAGGGGTAGGTGTGCGTGTGTGCCAAGAAGGAAAAGCTAGAGCTACAGGCTGGTGAGTGGTCGTGATGGTATTAGATTGGAGTGGGATTAATAGTGGCTGGAACATGCTGTAAAGTCCGTGCTTTCTACTTGCAGATCCACTCTTTGTATCGCCGCACAGGTGCCAGCTTTCAGAAGGCCCAGCAAGAGTTTGCAGCTGGTGTCTTCTCCAACCCTGCGGTGCGAACCGCAGCTGCCAATGCAGCCGCTGGGGCTGCAGAAAATGCCTTCCGGGCCCCATGACCCCTAACTGGGATGCCCTGGCCCCGCCACTTGAGGGAGGCGACTAGCCCCCATCCCTGAGGTCTCTGGGACTTTGAGACATCACTGTTTGATGTCTCCACTCTAGTACCCCCAATCATACAGCCATGACTGCTGAACCTGACTTAAGGGTGTGGGGAGCCCAGTGTGACCCAGTCACTGCTTCCCTCCCACCCCTCGATCAGGCCACACTGCTGCCACAACCACACACCCCGACCCGCTTCCCTCTGCTGTGCCAAGGCTGTTGCTTCGGTTATTTAAATAAAAAGAAAGTGGAACTGGAACACAAATCCCCGTTTCTGGAATTTTAATGGGAACTAGGTCTTAACAGAAGATATGAGTGGAGGCGACTGGAAGTGGAAGGAGAATTGTGGACTCTGGAGAGAAGGTCGGACCTGGCCTCAGTGTAAATGGAGAGCTGTGGCGGCGGGACAGCAGAGCCCACTGGCTGGCGCAGGAAGTGGGAGGGAAGTCCACGGTTGGGTGTGGAATCGCGGAGCTGCCAGGGAACTCAGCTCTCCACCCCGCTCCTTTAATGACTTTCTCCTTTAAGAAAGAGCCGCTACCTCTGCTGGGAACGGAGCGGCCGAGGGGCACGAGAGGCTGGGCGGGGCCCAAGTAGGCGCCGAAAGCTTTAGCTCGGCCCCTGCGGGGGTCGGAACTCCTCGCCAGACCAGCGGCTGCGGCCACCTCGCCCGGCCGCCCTGCCGTCCGCTCCCTCCCTTCCCCTCCCCCCACGTGCCTCCCCCTTCCTCTCCCATTCCCTCTCCCCCAGGGTCTCCGACTGGGACTACAACTCCCGCAGTGCACCGCGCTGGCCCTCGTACCACGCCCCTCCTCCCGCACCAGCTCATCCCCCATCCCTCGTCTCCAGTCCCGGACCTGCTGCAGCCTGAGCTAGGAGAGCAGGACCGTGGTGGGGAGGGGCGTGGGGCTGGCGACCCAGGAGACTGTGGCGCCGCAGCCTCTCCCCACCAGGCGGCCGCGGATCCAACTGGACACTCTGAAGGCACACCGACTGCGCCTCTAGAGTCACCCCACGCCGACCCTCCCCTCTTCTCTAGACTTCTTTCCCATCCTTCTCGCCTTTTACCCTTCCCACCCTTCCCGGTTCCGGAACGCCGCCCTCTCTTCACTCCCGGACAGGCCCTTTTCGGCGCCCCTCTTCCCTAGGGAGATGCGATGAGCCGGTGCCCCCGCGTCCTCATCGCCGTCGCGGGCACGGTGCCCGTCCAGTGCCCGTGGTGGGGAGGGAGCACTCCGCGGCCCCTCCGTGAGGGCCCCCCCTTGGACTCCCCCCCAGCTGGAGTCCCTGGGCCATGCCCCAGGGGACCCAGCCAGGGGGTGGGCTCTAGAGGGAGGGGGGTGGAGAGGAGGAAGGACGGGGCCTTGGGCGCCTCTGAGATGCTCCCAAGCGCCAGGGGGGGCCGAGCAAGGCTCAGGCAACCGGGCGGCAGGCATGATGCCCTCGCCTAGCGATTCCAGCCGCTCGCTGACTAGCCGGCCTAGCACCCGGGGCCTTACACACCTCCGCCTCCACCGACCCTGGCTACAGGCCCTGCTCACGCTGGGGCTGGCTCAGGTGCTCCTGGGCATCCTGGTGGTCACCTTCAGCATGGTGGCCTCCTCCATCACCACCACCGAGAGCGTCAAGAGATCCTGCCCATCTTGGGCTGGGTTCTCGGTGAGTTGGGCGCACAGTTGTTGGGTGGGGGAGGCTCCTCGGGCCCCACCCCTCAACATCAGCTGCCAGTCCAAATCCTGGCCTCTCCTGGTCCTCGTACTCCTTACAGAGTTGGGTACGCCCTGTGGTGTGGGGCTCACCCAGTTGCCTCCCCTTCATGCTGAACCTGTACCTGCTTTATCCCCAGCTGGCGTTTTCCGGGGTTGTTGGCATCGTTTCTTGGAAGCGGCCGTTCACTCTAGTGGTAGGTGCCAGGGTCTGATGCCCACTGGGAGGCAGGTGCCTAGCACCTGAGGGGATGCCCATTTATGCCCCCAAGAAGGGAACTGAGTCTTCCATTCATGTTGACAGGCACGCATGCCTGTGAGTGAGGGGGCTCCGTTTGTGGTAGAGGGTATTTGGGGGCCCCAGCCCTGAGTCTGTGCCCTCTGCTCCCCAGATCTCCTTCTTCTCTTTGCTCTCCGTGCTCTGCGTCATGCTCAGCATGGCTGGCTCCGTTCTCTCCTGTAAAAACGCTCAGCTGGCCCGAGACTTCCAAGACTGCGACTTGGTGAGATTTGAGGAAGGAGAGCCTGAGTGCGTTAGCTGGGGGAGGTGTGCCGAACACCTCGGCTTGTCCGGATTCAGGCTGCCTCACTCTCTCCACTCCCACTCAGGATGGAAAGGTCTGCGTGTGCTGCCCCTCTGTTCGTCTTCTCCGGCCCTGTCCAGAGTCGGGGCAGGAACTGAAAATTGCTCCTAACTCCACCTGTGATGAAGCCCGAGGGGCCCTCAAGGTGAGCATGCACCCCCATCTCTGCCGTTGCTTTCTCTCCTACCATCTTCCTGGCTCTCTTCTGTTTCCTCCTGAGTCCTCACAGGCCCTGAATATGTGGGACTTATTCCACCCTAGGCTCCTCTCACATTCCTCTCTCTTGCCTTCCCCAGAACTTACTCTTCAGCGTCTGTGGGCTCACCATCTCTGCCGCCGTAATATGTACCCTCTCTGCCATTGTCTGCTGCATCCAGATCTTCTCCCTGGACCTTGTGCACACGGTGAGTGGGAAGCTGGGGTCAAGGCCAAGAAGGTAGACTGGGGCAGGGGTGTGTGTGCTGGGACTGGTCTTGGGGTGGGGTGGGGCAGGGATGGCTGCAGCGCTGGCTTTTGAGCACCAGGGGCTGTGGCTCACCTAATAGGCATGTTGATTGTAGGAATATTTAAGAGGTCCACTGGAGGGTGAGGAGGGGAATCACTGGGAGTAACAGAAGTGTGTGATGTCAGCCCCAGGGCATTGGAGAATGGGACTAAAAGTTGGGCGGAGCCCAGAAGGTCTTAGATGGAGGCAAGGATAACGGTTTGATGTTCTGGTGGGGACAGAACAGAGAGTTGATTCTGGGTGCAGAAGAGTCCATAAAGAGGAGGAATTTCTAGATGGGCAGGGTAGGAGGTGAAGGTCGTCAGCTGGGGCAGTTAGAAGAGGAACCTGTTCTGGGAAAGGAAGGGGCCAGAACTGAGCTTCTTGGAGGGGGCAGGGTCAGAAAATGTAGAGGAGAGAGGAATTTGGGAATCAAGGAGCTGTATTCCCAGAATCCAAGCTTGCCAACCTGCTTGCTCCCCAGCAGTTGGCCCCTGAACGCTCAGTCTCAGGCCCTCTGGGGCCTTTGGGCTGTACCTCCTCGCCCCCAGACCCTCTCCTGCACACCATGCTGGACCTGGAGGAGTTTGTACCGCCTGTGCCCCCACCACCCTACTACCCCCCAGAGTACACCTGCAGCTCGGAAACAGATGCGCAGAGGTGAGGCCAGGCAGTCCTATTGGGGGAACTAAGGAGGGAGACTGGGGCCGGGACCAGATTGGTGGGGAGGGAGTTTTCAGAATAGTTCTTTTCCAGGCTTTGACCCTTTCCCTCCTTCTGCCAGCATCACCTACAATGGCTCCATGGACAGCCCAGTGCCCTTGTACCCTACTGATTGCCCCCCTTCTTATGAGGCCGTCATGGGGCTACGAGGAGACAGTCAGGTGAGAGCAGAGCTTGGTGCAGGCTGGGGAGTCCAAGATAGAGCCTGAAAATCTGAGTGAGCTGCTGGTACTGGATAAAGAATACTAGTTCTCGTGAGCTAAAGCACTGGCACATCCACTGTCATCTTTGATCTGCCTGAGAGGGTAGTGAGGTGGGTGGGGTAAGAACTGTTATTTCCATTTTACAGACGTGGAAACTGAGGCCCACATAAGTGACTTGGACAGAGTGACAAAGCTGGACTGGAATCTAGGTCTCCAGAGCTCTGTCAAGCCTGTGGGGTGGCCCTATCGGTGTGCAGGGCTGGACGCTTGACCCTTGTGTTTTCTGCAGGCCACTCTCTTTGATCCTCAGCTGCATGATGGCGCCTGCATCTGCGAGCGAGTGGCCTCCATTGTAGACGGTGAGCAGGAAGTGGGGGGTGGACAAGGACTGGGACGCCTGGGATAGCGGAGCCGGTGGGGGGCGGGGCAGAAAGGGAGAGATTAGACTGGGTGGTTGAGTGACAAGCCAGGGCTGCGTTTTCCTGGAATCCTGTCTCTTCTGAGGCTTGCCCAGAGGAAGGGGCACTGCGGAGACCCGGCCAGGCTGATGCTAGCCAGCGCCCCCTCCTGCCCACAGTGTCCATGGACAGCGGGTCTCTGGTGCTCTCAGCCATCGGCGACCTCCCCGGGGGCTCCAGCCCGTCGGAGGACTCGTGCCTGCTGGAGTTGCAGGGCTCCGTGCGCTCCGTTGACTACGTGCTCTTCCGCTCGATTCAGCGCAGCCGCGCCGGCTACTGCCTCAGCCTGGACTGCGGCCTTCGGGGCCCCTTCGAGGAGAGCCCCCTTCCCCGGCGGCCCCCGAGGGCAGCCCGCTCCTACTCCTGCTCTGCCCCCGAAGCCCCGCCCCCACTGGGCGCCCCCACAGCGGCCCGCAGCTGCCACCGGCTGGAGGGCTGGCCGCCTTGGGTGGGACCCTGCTTCCCCGAGCTGAGGCGGCGGGTCCCCCGGGGAGGCAGCCGGCCAGCTGCGGCCCCTTCCCCCCGAGCCCCGGCTCGCCGCTTCAGCGACAGCTCAGGTTCCCTCACCCCGCCGGGGCACCGGCCTCCTCACCCGGCTCCCCGGCCACCACTGCTGCTGCCTCGGTCCCACAGTGACCCGGGCATCACCACCTCCAGCAACACCGGTGAGCACCCACAGGGTTCAGGAGAGGGCAGGCACTGGGAGTGAGAGGGCCAGTGACGCCCACCAGGATTTGGGACACCATTGGGGTCTCTGAGGAGGCAGAAATTCTGAATCACACCTGCATCAGACACTTACATCACCTGTGAAAAACACCCCAGCCAGTAGCTTAGTGGTTAAAAAAAGAGATTTGGTTGTTGGAACCCAGTCTCACAGGCCCCAGCTTCGGTAAGTTACCTACTCTTTCCAAGCCTCAGTTTCTCACCTGTAAAATGGGTATAATAACAGTACCTCACCGTACATACTGTGGCGTTACTGAGAAGAGATGCAGGTCAAATGCTTCCGCCCTGGCACAGAACATGCTTGTCATCACCATCTGTGCCAGGCACTGGGGAGGATGCAGCAGAGAGTGATGGAGCCTTAGTCCCTGATTTGGTGGATCGTTCCATCTAGTTGCTGGCAGACATGGGCAGCGACAGTGCCCCCTTGGTTGGGAGTGGGCTGTAGGAGCCGGGTAGGCTATAGGCTTGGGTTCTCAGGAGGGCGGTGAGATGGGTGGGGGTGTCTACTACGCACTCCCAACTCAGTCCGCGTTTCTCTCCTCTCCCCTTCAGCTGAATTCAGGGACCTTTATACCAAAGTGCTTGAGGAAGAAGCTGCTTCCGTTTCCTCTGCAGATACAGGTTAGGCATATTGCTGGTGCCCAGGGGGTGGGGGATAGGGCAGTGCTGCCTGGCCTTTTTTGCACCTTCCATCCCACCCACCCTCCCTGTCTCTTTCTCCAGGGCTCTGCTCTGAAGCCTGCCTCTTCCGTCTAGCCCATTGCCCTTCCCCCAAGTTGCTCCGTGCCCGCTCAGCAGAGAAGCGGCACCCTGTGCCCGCCTTCCAGAAGGTCCCCCTGCCCTCGGGCCCTGCACCTGCCCACTCCCTGGGGGACCTGAAGGGCAGCTGGCCAGGCCGGGGCCTGGTCACCCGTTTCCTCCAGATGTCCAGGAAGGCCCCAGATCCCAACGGGAATGGAGCCCATGGGCATAAGCAGGTAGAGTCAGGGGAGCCAAGGAAGACACCCAGGAAAGCCTGGAACTTCGCGTTGGGGGCCACACTGATGCTGTCTCCTGTGGCCCCGTCTAGGTGCCCCGGAGCCCCTGGGGCCGGCCAGGCCGAGAGAGCCTTCACCTTCGCAGCTGCGGCGACCTGAGTTCCGGCTCCTCCCTGAGGCGCCTCCTGTCGGGCCGTAGGCTGGAGCGTGCTACCCGTCCCCACAGCCTCAGCCTCAATGGGGGCAGCCGGGAGACCGGGCTCTGACCCGGGCGTCCCCCGACACCGAACAGATCCAGATGAGTGCTGGGGCCACAGCAGCCCCCAGCACCCCTTGCTCCGGCCGACACAGAGAGAAACCTGCTGAACAGTCCCAGAAGTACCCGTTTCCCTCCTACCTCTAGGGGCTCCTGCTGCTTGCCTCTGCCTTCTGGCCTGGGAGAGCTCCTGTCCACTGCTGCATGGGTGTTCAGGCTCTGGGGGGACATGCCTGTGCTTCTGGTGCTGGAGGAGGAAAGTACAGTCCAGTTCCTCCGGCATGACAGTAACTCGGATTCACCAGGGGTTGTGGCCAGGGCATAGGCATGTCCCGGGTCTTTAAGCATAGGGGGCTGTATGCCTGTGCAATGGGGTGGTGAGGCATGAAGGGTCAGAAAAATCAGGCTGGCCTCTCAGCTCTACCACCTCTAACTGCATGACCTTGGGCAAGTTATTTAACCTCAACTGCCTGATCCATAGAACATTGTGAGGACGAAAGTTTGTAAAGCTCTTAACACATTAAGCCTTCAATAAATTTCAGTTTTTCCCTTCTCTTCTGGATCATTCTTTATCACCATTGAGATTTGTGCTAGCATCTCTCTTAGTTATGAAAACTTTCAAGACACCGATATCTATTTCCAGCTACCACACAGTATCTCTGCCCCTTTTCATAGCCAGACATTTTTTGTCTTCCTTCCTTCTACTCAAACATCCATTCTCTCCTCAACCATTCTCATCAGATTCCTTCCCCTCCCTCTCCCCAGGCACTGCTCTTGAAACAAATTTTTCAGTAACCAAGTATCAGACTCAGTGGCTGTTTCTCTGCTTGCATGCATTTCACTTAACCTCTGATAAGCATTTAACCCACCTAATTAGCATCTTATGGCAGAAAGTGAAGAGGAACTAAAAAGCCTCTTGATGAAAGTGAAAGAGAGTGAAAAAGTTGGCTTAAAGCTCAACATTCAGAAAACTAAGATCATGGCATCTGGTCCCATCACTTAATGGCAAATAGATGGGGAAACAGTGTCAGACTTTATTTTGGGGGGCTCTAAAATCACTGCAGATGGTGACTGCAGCCAGGAAATTAAAAGACGCTTATTCCTTGGAAGGAAAGTTATGACCAACCTAGATAGCATATTAAAAAGCAGAGACATTACCTTGCCAACAAAGATCCGTCTAGTCAAGGCTGATTTTTCCAGTGGTCATGTATGGATGTGAGAGTTGGATTGTGAAGAAAGCTGAGCACCGAAAAATTGATGCTTTTGAACTGTGGTGTTGGAGAAGACTTTTGAGAGTCCCTTGGACTGCAAGGAGATCCAACCAGTCCATCCTAAAGGAGATCAGTCCTGGGTGTTCATTAGAAGGACTGACGCTAAAGCTGAAACTCCAATACTTTGGCCACCTCATGCAAAGAGTTGACTCACTGGAGAAGACCCTGATGCTGGGAGGGATTGGGGGCAGGAGGAGAAGGGGATGACAGAGGATGAGATGGCTGGATGGCATCACCAACTTGATGGATATGAGTCTGAGTAAACTCTGGGAGTTGGTGATGGACAGGGAGGCCTGGCGTGCTGCGATTTATGGGGTTGCAAAGAGTCAGACACGCCTGAGTGACTGAACTGAACTGAATCAGCATCTTTTCTCTTGAATTTTCCCCTTTCTTGTCTTTAAAGACCATGTTGTTGTTTAGTTGCTAAGCTGTGTTTGATTCTTTTGAGACCCCCATGGACTGTAGCCCACCAGGCTCCTCTGTCCATGGGTCTTCGCAGCCAAGAATACTGGAGTGGGTTGCCATTTCCTTCTCCAGGGGATCTTCCCAAAACAGGGATGGAACCTGAGTCTCCTGCATTGGCAGGCAGATTCTTTACCACTGAGCCACCAGGAAAGCCCAGAGACATCATACTCTTCTGTATTTCCTCCTACTTTGCTGTCATGGTATCATTTGTCAGCATTCACACCTCTGCCTATCCGATTAACACTGGAGAGCCCCAGGACTCTCCTGTCGGCTCTCTTCTTTTTTCTACCTCCACTTTGTCTATAGGTGGCCCTACAAGATCCATGGCTTTCACAGCCATCTATGTGTTCATGGATAATTCTCTCCTTTACCTCTCCATGAGCTCCAACCTCCAATGTGAAATCTCTCCTCGGATATTTAATGGGTGTCTCAGACTCAACATGGCCACAATGGAGCTCTTCATTCCAACCCTTGTGCCTGTTCCTTTCCAAACATTCTTCTCTTAATACATGGTACCACCACTCACCCCGCTGAACTTTCCATAAGCATAGGAATTACCCTCATTTCTTTTTTCTCATCTGGCATGTCCAGTCTTACCCTGAATTCTTCCATGTCTCACCAGCTACCTAGCCCTAGTCACAACCCTCTCTCCTTGCCTCTTAATTGATCTATTTCCATTCTTCCCACAATCCACTCCCCAGTCAGCAAAGTGATAAGAAATCATGTCATATTAAAGTTCTGCCTAAATGTAATAGCTTTCCATTGTATTTAGAATAATCTCCAAACTCCTTATGAAACTATGGTCAGGTGCAACCTGGTCCACTCTGCTTCACTCCAACTGCCACTGCACAAGAGACTTTGCACCAGCTAGCTCTTCACCAACACGAAACTCTGCCCTATCGCTGTTGCTTTCACCTAATTCGAGAGTCTTAGTTCAATATTCATTTTCTCGTTGAGCACTTCGCATTCTATCATACCGCCCTGTGGTTTTGAACACTTAATTGCTATCTAAAATTATCTTGTTTGTGTCGTCCCATAGAATGCAAATTCCTATGAGCAGGGGGTTGCTCATTGCACTTGATCTAACACTTAGTAGGTCCTCAACAAACTCATTAAGTTACTAAAAGCGTGAGGTCTTGTGAACAGCTTCGGGACCCTTTGACTTTGGGGACAGTCGTGGGGCCCTACAGAAGAGAGCGGGTAGGGAGGGGGCACTGCCCATAGATGGCGTCAGGCTGCAAGGCTTCTTGAATAATTCACCATCATAACAATCCAGCTTCAGGGAAAGAGGGTTAGGGCGCGGCCAGAACGACAAAATGAGATAGAAGGGAGTGGAGCCTGGGGTTCCCAACGGGGCAATATCTGGGCACTAAATGTTCCCTACCCCGAGACTCCCAAAGGAGGAAACTCAAGAGTACAGCTCAGCTTCCAGTGACCCGGACTCACTGAGGGAAAGCAACCTCCCCCACTCATCAGGGTGTGCTGGCGAGTATATACGGAGGCGCATGCGCGCTTTTTGCTTCCCGCGCCCTCTTTCCAAATAGACCCCCGAATACGCTTGCGCCGTCTGTGGGCTAAGGCTGGTCAGAGGAAACAGTCCGTCCCCAGCACTACCAATAAGACGGGCGGAAAGTGCGTGCGTCCCGCCTCCTGACGATTACGGGTCTCCCTCCCCTAGAGAGGCCCGGGTCCCGCCCAACCGGCCCTGCGCGCCTTAAGGCTGCGCGTGTGAGGTGCACCCCGTCTCCGCGGAGCCCTGTTCTCCAGCCCCGCCTACCAGCTTTACAGGCTGCGCTGGGATTTCCTTTCGCCTCCGGTTGGGGCTGCTGTTTCGCTTCGCCGACGGTAGGCGTAATGGATTTTGCACTGCTTAGGATCTTAACTCTCCCTTCCCTGCATCTGCAGCTCACCTTCTTATCAGCACTGTTATCATTAATTGTAGGGATGGTCGTGTTTTACTAATGAGGAAGAGGGGAGAAATCTTCAGATCCTCTTCTACCCACTTGCATTTTTGAGGGCTGGCATGGGGAAAAGGTCTGTAGAATTTATCCATTCTTCAATCATCCGACAACGTTCCGTGAGCATAGCACTAGCGCCGGGTGCTGTGCTGCCTGCTGGCGATACCCACTGACCTCTGCTCTATTAGGCTTTCGCATGGAGGGATCAACAGACAAAGGAGTTAGGCCACTGGGAGCTATAATTGACATTAAGTCATTTTTACAATTACCTGCAACTAACAAGAGCTACAAAGGAGATGTGAGATTTGTGAGCTTGTGTTACAGGAGGGGGTGTGTGTGTGAGAAAGAGAATTTCTTAGACATAACGACAGGAGCTGAGATCTGAAAGAAAGATGAATAGGCATTAACTAGGCCTGGAGGTGAAGAGTGGTGCAAACTGAAGAAGAGCCTTTGTGAGGATTCTGAGGAGAAAGGATAGAGAACAAGGGGGCCAGTCCATGGCAGGCTGTAATTAGAGATTGGTCTCTGTGCCTTGGCACTTACCTCTTACAGTCTGATTTCTACACAGCAGCCAAAGTGATCTTTTAAAAATATAGACCTGATGGTGGCACTTCCCTGCACCAAACTGGCCAGTGAATTTCCATCTTGGAATAAAATGCAGACTCCTCACAGTGGCCACGAAGGCCTTACAGGATCTGAGCCCCAACCTTTTTCTCTAAATTCACTTCTTACCACTCTCCCCCTCACTCCCTTTGTCCAGCACTCCCTACCCCTTTATTTTGTTTCATAGTGCTCATGGCCATATGAAGTTCTGTGTTTGTTATCTACCATCCCCGCTAGAACATAAGCTCCACCGGGTCAGGGACTTTATCATCTTATTCATTACTGTATCTAGAACAGTGCCTGGCCCATAGTAGATGCCCAATTATTATTTGTCAAATATGTGCATTGGGGAGCACATAGCAGGGGTGCCCTGCCCATTTAGGGGTGTCGGGAAAATGGTGCTGATGGTAGAGACATTAAGGCTGAGGACTTACTGATGAAAAAGAGTATTTATTCTTTTTTTGTTTTACATTTATTTTTATTAGTTGGAGGCTAATTACTTTATTTATTTTTTTTTTTTTAAGAAAGAAGAGAAAATATCCTAGCTCAGAGCAGAGGTAAGATGGAATGTGGCCTGTTAGGCAAAATGTGATTGGAGCATATAGTCCACGTGGAGAGATGAGAAATGAAGCTAGAACTAAGATGCCAGGTCCCGTAAGCCCTCTTAAAAGGCAGTGTGGAGCCATGGAAGGATTTTAGGAGGGAGAGTCGTAGCTTCAGTGTTTGTATTTGAGTTACACCATTGAATGCTTCTTGAAGAATGGATTGGAGGAGAAAAGTAGAGTGTAGGAGGTCAAGTGAGAGGTGTTTCAGTAGTTGACAAGAGAAATGATAGGAAGAAGGATTCGGGGAGAGGACAGAGTCAGGCACAAGCCTCAGGTTCTTCGAGGAAGAGGTTCTGTTCATGGGGAAAGAGAACACAGGAGGATGAGTGGGTTTGGCTGGAGGAGATGATGCCTTCGTGATGGTGCTGCTGAAGTGTCTGTGAGACTCCCACCAGGAAAGGTCTGGAGGGTAGAGTCATCACAGAGTCCATTTCAAGAGGAGGATTGGGATTGGAGGTGCAGATTTTGGAACCAAAAACAGCTAGAAGATAATCAAAGCCATGGGTTGTCTCTGGAGAGAGCATGATGAATGAGAAGAGAAGGTCTAGGACAAAACCCTAAGGAACAGACAGAGGAGGTGAAGCCTGCGAAGGACGAGGACCTCCAGAGCAGCAGAGTGTGAAGTGCTCAGAACAAAAGAGAGTGCTTCTGGAACAGAGGGGCCTTGTGTCAACTGAGGTAAAAAGTACAGTCAGATAAGTGCTTGGGTACTTAGTTGCTCAGTTGTGTCTGACTCTGGACTGTAGCCTGCCAGGCTCCTCTGTCCATCGGGATTCTCCAGGCAAGAATACTGGAGTGGGTTGCCATGCCTTCTTCCAGGGGATCTTCCCAACCCAGGGATCGAAACCAGGTCTCCCACATTGCAGGCGGATTCTTTACCGTCTGAACCATCAGGGACTCCCTGGGTGGGCATTATTCACTGGACTTGCAACAGAGGGATCATCAGTGACCTTGGCAAGAGTAGTTTTGGGGAACCAAGAGGATCCAGCTTCAGCCCATGCAACGTAAGAAATGGAGAGAGGACTCACCAAGTGTAGCGACTCATCCCAGAGGTTTCGCTGTGAGTAACATTACATGCATTGTTGCATGAGGTTCTCATAACAACCTGTGAAGCAAGAGGTTTGGAGATGAGGAAACTGAAGCTCCAAGAAGTCAAGTAACTTCCCAGTATCTCAGTTCTAGTAAGGAATGAAGCAAGGGTTTTAATCCTGTATAATCACTAGGGTGTCCATGTCAAAACACCCTTCCCCTTCCTTATTGCCTCCTCTTGAGGGAGGGAACTGGTGACAGCCAGAGGGAACAGGGGTGGGGGTAAAGGCCTGGGACTGAAGACTCCTTCCACTGCACCTGGAGGAAAGAAGCAAAGGCTAGATAACAATAACAATAATAATTCCAGCCATCCATATGGAGTTTTACAGTTCACAAGGACCACCTTCTCATACCTTTTTATCTGCAATGAGACTCGTGACAGCCTTGCTTGGGAGGCTCAGGACAGTAAGGAATGTGTGAGCAGACTCACAATTGTTCAGCATTTGAATCATACTTCCTGTTGCCTCAACCAAATCCCCTCAATTAAGTCTCACTCCGGCTCTAATAGTCCTCTTCAGAGTTAGCTTTGTTCTTCTGGAAGTTCACCACTCTTTTGTTTCAGATCACACCAAAGACATTGTTTGAAACACTGACAAGCAGAACCTTAGACAGCGAATGTGGTTAGTAACTTAACCCATTCATTCATTTAGTAAACCTGAGCTTCAATTCTGTGCTTGTCTCTTGAGGAAAAGTTTTAGGTTTCAGAGAAATAGGAACTGTGAAATTTGCCCTGTGGCCATTTAGAAACTTAGAGAAGGGACTTCCCTGGTGGTACAGTGGATAGAAGTCTGCCTGCCAATACAGGGGACACAGGTTTGATCCCTGGTCTGGGAAGATGCCACATGCCATGGAGCAGCTGAAGTCCATGCGCCACAACTATTGAAGCCTGCAAGCTCTAGGGTCTGCGAGCTGCAAGTACTGAGCCCGTATGCTGCGACTACTGAAGCCCACACACCTAGAACTGGTGCTCTCCAGCAAGAGAAGCCATCACAATAAGAAGCCTGTGCAACGGCAACAGAGTAGCCTCCACTCACCACAACTAGAGGAAGCCCATATGCAGCAACAAAGACCCAGTGCAACCATAAATAAATAGATAAATAATTGTTTGAAAAAGAAAATATACTACTGAAATGTCAGGAAGACTGTAGAACATGATGACTAAGAGCTGCTTGGGCTTCAGAGTAGGAAAGAGCTGAATTTAGGCTTGACTCTGCCACTTACTTAATCTCTCTGAGTCAGTTTTCCCCATAACATGGGGTTGTCAGGAAAGCATATGAGGTACAAACACTTTCCATTTGCACTGGACTTTACAGGTATGCTATGGTATTGTTTAAGAGTTGGTTAATGAAACCAGCTATTGCCATAATCTTTTGGCAACATGTCAAATTATGTATCGGATCATCAGTTGTACACATTAAACTTACACAATGTTACATCTCAGTGGCAGTCGTGGTTTAGTCGCTAAGTCGTTTCCAACTCTTCTTCATAGACTTCTTCAAAGACTGTAGCCCACCAGGCTCCTCTGTGAGTGGGGTTCTCCAGGCATTAATATTGGAATGGGTTGCCATTTCCTTCTCCAGGAGATCTTCCCAACCCAGGAATCGAACCCAGATCTCCTGCATTGCAGGCAGATTCTTTAATGACTGAGGTAGAGATGTAAAAAATTTTATCTCAATAGAGCTAAAAAAAAAGTTTGTTGATCAGATAAATCCGGAGATGAAGCTGCTGCTGCTGCTAAGTTGATTCAGTCATGTCCAGCTCTGTGTGACACCATAGACGGCAGCCCACCAGGCTCCGCCATCCCTGGGATTCTCCAGGCAAGGACACTGGAGTGGGCTGCCATTTTCTTCTCCAGTGCATGAAAGTGAAAAGTGAAAGTGAAGTTGCTCAGTCATGTCCGACTCTTCGCCACCCCATGGACTGCAGCCCACCAGGCTCCTCTGCCCATGGGATTTTCCAGGCAAGAGTACTGGAGTGGGTTGTCATTGCCTTCTCCAGGAGATGAAGCTACAACCTCGTAATTAAGAGGCAGAAGGGTCTCACTGGAGGAAGAAATCATTTGGTGTCAGTAATCAGTAAGAGTAGTGTTTCTTCAGATCAGAAACCAGAGCTGAAAGGACAGATTAAAAATTGACTGGTAAGGTTTATCCATTCACTTATCTCTTAAGTATTTTTTGAGTCTTCCTCTGCCATACATGACATGACAGTGTCTCTCTGTGACCATGGAGGTGACAGTGGGACCAGGAGGAGGCACCCTCCTTGGGGAGTTGACTTGAGACCTACAGAATAAGGAGCCTGTGACATGGTGCTTGCGAGGCTCCAAGGCTGGAGTTTGCTATTTGAGCCAAGGGTTGGCTGAAGTGAGATCAGAACCTCTGTGCTGGGTCAGCCAAACTATTTTTGTGCTTAAGCTTCTCACTTATATTTATTTCCCTGTTGCCCTCCCTTGGTGTTTAGCTAAGTCTTTTAAAAGTGCTGTGCAAAGGGAAATGAGGAACACATTTGTTGCCACCTAGTATGTCCATAGTGACTACTGCAGCCTGGGCATTTGAGGTGACTCCCCTAGGGCAGTCAGTCTCAGTCATCCCCTAGAAGGCATTTTGGAAATGTGTCTTTAGTGGAGACCATGATTAGGAGCGATTGACTTTTCTAGTAGTCATGTACGAATGTGAGAGTTGGACCAAAACGGAGGCTGAACGCCGAAGACTTGGTGCTTTCAAATTGTGGTGTTGGAGAAGACTCTTGAGAGTCCCTTGGACTGCAAAGAGATCAAACCAGTCAGTCCTAAAGGAAATCAGTCCTGAATATTCATTGGAAGGACTGATGCTGAAGCTGAAGCTCCAATACTTTGGCCACCTGATATGAAGAACTGACTCATTGGAAAAGACCCTGGTGCTGGGAAAGATTGAAGGCAGGAGGAGAAGGGGACGGAAGCGGGGGTGACAGTTGGGTGGCATCACCAACTCGATGGACTTGAGTTTGAGCAAGCTCCAGAAGTTGGTGATGGACAGGGAAGCCTGGTATGCTGCAGTCCATGGAATCGCAAAGAGTTGGACACAGCTAAGTGATTGAACAATGATTAGGAGCACTTTGAGAATTTAGTGGAAGGAGGACAGGAAAGGTAGACTATAACATGCGGGACAGCCCTGCACAGAGAAGTATCTCTCATTCTACTTACGGAATGTTCTGTTCAATAATATATGCAAAAATATATATATGTGCAAATATAAGATCAAATATAAATCAGCAAGACTTTATTATATAATAATGCAGAAAAGTTTTAGAAGTTTTGTTGTTGTTGAAAAGCCCAGTAACTTAGGAGAAGATAATTATGGAGGAAGAAGTTAAATACATTGTCTTGAAATTATTGCATCTGTCTACTCAGCATATTAGAGCATTTCCAACTATGTAATATATTTAGTTGTAAAGAGTTTCAGTGTGGTAGTATTGCTACCAAAACAATGAACCAACTGCAAATATGTAATGAAATTTTTTTTACTGGCTTCATTGAGGTTTAATTTATATACTATAAAAGTTTCTCCTTTTAAGTGTACAGTTCAATGATTTTGAGTAAATTTATAGAATTTTGCAATTTCGATTCCCACACCAGCTGCAGGAAAGCACTAATCTGTTTTCTGTCTCTCTAGATTTGGCTGTTGTAGAATTTCATATAAATGGAATCATGCAATGTGTGGTCTTTTTGTCTGGCTTCTTTGACTTACCATGATGTTTTTGAGGTACATTCATGTCATAGCATGTATCGGTATTTTGTTCCTTTTTATCGTTGAATACTATTCCATTTAATGAAATACCACAGTTTGTGTATTTATTCACCAGCTGATAGACGTTTGGTTTGTTTCCATAAATAACACTGCTGTAAATATACATGTGCAAGTATTTGTGTGGATAAATATTTTCTTTTCAGTAGCTATTTAGAAGTGGGAGTTGCTGGGTC